CAATCAATCCGGCATCTCAACTGTCTCGACTTAATGCTAATAAAACACACCCCCAAATGCAATTCGGCGAAATTTTGACAATTGCGATCGTTTGATGCACGTACAATTTCCGCCCGAACGCTAATTTCCGAGCTACGAATTAAGATATTAATAAATTCGTCCTACACCAGCGACAAAACGCGACTTCACATGTTGACTGTGCGAGTACTTGACCACGAGTGACGAGACGACGAGACGATTGCACACGGCACGGCTCCCAACGGTCTTCCAGTTCGTATCCTTCCGCGTTACGTCATGTTGGACTGACTTGTCCATTGCCTGTCGCGGATTTTAAATCTTTTGATTTGAAAATCGGCACAAAACATAAACATAACTGTAAACAATCCTGCTTTAAGAGTTAGTTCTCGTTGAGTATCACAGTTTTTTGTTGCTGCTTAATTCAATTTAGCTGTTTTCATAAATGCAAAAATATAATAGTGCTGCACCCTGTTGGTAAATCTTATAACTTTTTAATGCTTTTGAATATCATAGAACCAACTTTTTTAGTAGAAACAGCTGACTAAATTCTTAAATTCCCTTTAAATATGAATACTCATAAGGTTAACATGGGGAACTACAGAGCCAATGGGGCGGAGACCGAAAGGATTTTTGAGATAGGAATATGCCTATATGTTAATCGTTAATGTGAGCTATCATCATGCACAATTTCAGCCCAATCCGTCCAGTAGTTAATGCGTGATTGAACTTCAAACAAACAAACACACAAACTTTCACATTTATAATATTAGTAAGAGTACTTGGGGACCGAGCTTTGCTCGGAGAAAATCATTAGTTCACTCTGAAAGCAGTCTTAGTATCGGAGATACATAAATCTGTTCCCAAACTCCACACGGCTCGCCTTTACAACGTCCTACACCATTTCCTACGTCATGGACCTGTTTCCCTCCATTCCCATAGCACTTTAAGATTGTAGATACCTTAATCTAATCGTTATTAACAGTTCCCACACTCCGGACAGCTCGCCTTGACTACTTCCTTCACCACTTCCAACGTAGCGGACCTGTTTTTCTCCCTTCCCATAGCATTTCAGAATTGCAGATACGTTAATCTAATCGTCATAAACAGTTCCCACACTCCATATTAATCGCCTTTACTACTTCCTTCACCACTTCCTACGTCGCAAACATGTTTCCCTCCCTTCCCATTGCATTTAAAGATTGCAGATACATTAATCTAATCGTCATAAACAGTTCCCACACTCCGGACAGCTCGCCTTGACTACTTCCTTCACCACATCCTACGTCGCGGACCTGTTTCCCTCCCTTCCCATTGCATTTAAAGATTGCAGATACCTTAATCTAATCGTCATAAACAGTTCCCACACTCCGGACAACTCGCCTTGACTACTTCCGTCACCACTTCCTACGTCGCGGACCTGTTTCCCTCCCTTCCCATTGCATTTAAAGATTGCAGATACATTAATCTAATCGTCATAAACAGTTCCCACACTCCGGACAGCTCGCCTTGACTACTTCCTTCACCACTTCCTACGTCACGGACCTGTTTCCCTCCCTTCCCATAGCATTTTAGGATTGCAGATACCCTAATCTTATCGTCATAAACAGTCCCCACACTCCGGACTGCTCGCATTTACTACTTCCTTCATCACTTCCTACGTCACGGACCTGTTTCCCTCTATTCCCATAGCATTTTATGATTGCCTTTACTACTTCCTTCACTACTTCCTACGTCACGGACCTGTTTCCTTCCCTTCCCATAGCATTTTAGGATTGCAGATACCTTAATGTATTCGTCATAAACAGATCCTAGACTTCGCACTGCTACCCTTGACTGCAATGTCTCGAGTAATCTTAAGTATAATCAATCTTTGGTATAATCTTTGCTCAATATTAACAAGTGATGTTTTTCCTTTTGTACTGTATTTGTAATTTGCTAGTATACTGTGGGTAGTTGGTTTATTATGAACACGTGCTACAACTTCAAGTCTTTTGTTTACCTTTTCCTTGTTATTTAATTCAACCAACATGGTTACTTAGCAACCCATAAGACTAATGTTAAAAAAATGTGACTTTCAGTTTCGTTTTTCTACGTAATTAGATTTTTGTTGGCAGTTCTTACTGCATGAAACTTGTTTTTAGGCCAAAAATAAACTATTTACAAGATTTGAAGAAAATCGTCGGAGCCGTTTTCGAGATCTTTCTGCAAGCAAGCAAGCAAGCAAGCATACATACAAGCAAACATTGCTCGTATTAGAGTATAGGATAGCTCAGTGTCAGTGGGCTGGAGCCGCATTATCAACCGAACCGAAAGTATTAACAACCGAACCGAAAGTATTATAACAACCGAATACAAAATCGACAAAACTCAATAATTTTGTTATCCCGGTTTTTTTTTCAGTTGTATCCGCACGAACGATACTTGTATACCTTACTAATTGATTAGGATTTGAAAAATTACAACAGAATGCATCATATTATTGTCTTGATTGATTGAACTTTGTGTTGGTCCCATCTCATCAAATGGTAATAAATTAATTAATGGTAATGCAATAAAAGGTCTAAAGTCTAAAAGTCTAAAAACATCTAAAGTAGTACCTGTATATAAAAAGGCTGATCCACTTGCTGTTAGTAATTATCGCCCGATTTCTGTGCAACCATGTATAGGAAAAGTATTTGAAATCATTTTTTGAAGAGATTCCTTAGGTTTTTAGAATTTAATAATATATTGACTGAGAGTCAGTTTGGGTTCCGAAAACATATGTCTACATCTGATGCTGTCTTTGCCCTCTTGAGGAACATCTATAACCACCTGGATCTTTCTGAGAGCCTTTTATGCCTATTTTATGACATGACCAAGGCCTTTGACCTGCTAAACCATAGTGTCCTGCTTCGTAAACTACTTTCCCTGGGAATTGCAGGAAGACCTCTGCATTGGATACCGGTATTCACTTATTTAAGAGACCGCCACTTGGTCGTATTACTCAAGCATTTGGGGAATGACAATACTCTGCGCACATATAAGTCGGCTCCATCCCCTGCCAAAAATGTGGGTGTTCCACAGGGATCAAACCTAGGGCATCTATTGTTCTTGCTCTATGTTAATGACCTACCTGGCTCCATAACATCTGGAAATGTGTGGCTTTTTGCTGACGATGTATGTCACCTAATCTGTAACTCTGATCGTGTCAGTCTTATTGAAGATACTCAATCTAGTTTAATTGAGATGCAAAATTGGTGTAACGAAAACTGCTTGATCTTGAACTCTGATAAGACAAACCTTATGGAATTTTACAATAGGAAAAAACCTGAACCAGCTCCTCAACTAGTGCTAGATGGGGTCGCACTCACTTCCCGTGAAAAAGTAAAATATCTTGGCCTGCACATAACAGAAAATCTAAAGTGGGATGTACATATTAATTCAATAGCTTCAAGATTAAGATCTGTAATCAATTTAATAACTAGGCTCCAGAAATTGGTCCAGACTGACATTTTGTTAAAAGTTTACTATGGATGTTTTCACAGTATAATATCTTATGGAATAGTATTCTGGGGAGGTAGTACCATGGCCAATAGGATCTTTCTCCTCCAGAAACGAATTATTAGGAGAATGTGTGGTGCTCAACGTATTGCTTACAGTAGGCCCCTCTGTTCAAGGACCTTCGAATTTTAACCCTCCCATCACTATTTATTTTAGAATCTGCCATCTTGGTGAGAAATTATCCGGACATCTTTTTCACAAACAATCTGGTCTATCAGTACAACACGAGAAGAGCTAATCAAGTACATGTACCCCAAGTTAACTCAACTGTGGCCTGCAAGAGCCCATATTTTAGTAGTGTCAAGATATACAACTCACTACCAAGGAACATTATCCAAGAGCAAAATTTCAATAAATTTAAGAAGATGTTAAAGGAATATTTATGTGAAGCGGCCTATTTAAAAGTAGAAGATCTGTTCAATTAGGCCTATTGTTTTTCTACCCATTTGCAGGAGCGATGCTAGTGGGACATAAAAAAAGGTCGTGTCGCAAAAATATTGAAATCGCTACAATCGATCATTCGTGAATCGAGTTTAATGATGACGAACTTTCCGAGCTCGAGCGGAGTGATATTGAGTGTGTTGAGATTGAAGAGATTCCAATCCGACTTCCGACTACCGATTCCTTCTTCTTTTCTTACGGAGAGCACAAGTTCACATGTACAGAAACCTCATACTGACGTCATAAATATCGAATGTATATATCGATTGTACCGGGTGGTTACAGGGTTTTCTTCGGAATGTATCGGTTGCACCGAATAAGTAAAGGGTTTTTTTTGTAACACTTTATTTGACGAATTGAATACTCTCGGTAGTTTATCCATTATAAATCAAATAGTAGAAATACAATTATATTCGTTACAGGCTGGGAATAAAATAATTACTGATACTTTGGATTGAACATCCAAGATGTTTGCAATTGTTTTCGTATTTACCTGACTTATAAAATGAGTTCACAGGACGTTGAATACTAAGAATTTATTTCATAGCATCCACCATAATACAATAACTGTAATTAAAGTAGACGAATTACAGGAATTATTATCGATTCTAGAAGAGATTATTGATTCTACATACAAACATACAAAATCATTCAAAGAGAGTGAAATAATAATTGTAACTTTGACATGTTAACGTTATGTTAATGATTGGGAATGATTTACTAACAGATATTGCCCATCAGTGTAAGGTGACAATTTAAGAAGCCCAAGAGGACTGTTTTAGATATATTATTTTATGGAATTTACAGTCACGTAAAATAGGCATACAGTTTAACCATTGACTAAGTACTGTGAGTACATTAATCAATGGTTTAGGTTTACAGAAAAAAGAAAAGCTTTTTTCTCATTTTCCCCAATCACCCGGTACAATCGATATATACATTCGATATTTATGACGTCAGAATAAGGTTTCTGTACATGTGAACTTGTGCTCTCTGTTCTTGTTTTTTTGTAGCCGCGTAGCGTGTTCGCCGTGTTGCGGTTCCGTCTAGGTCTCTCGTCTCTCGGTCTCTGGTATTTGTGTTGTATAGTAAGTTTTACGTTGTCAAAATTTTATCGAAATTTGTTTTATGATAAATTTTGTTCCTGAATACAGAAGAGGTTATTAGTTCAACGACGTCAACCATCAATTTAATTGCTTTGTGTCTGATTTTTAGGCCTTGATTGGTTAGGTTATGAAGACTGAGAAGTCCTTCAGTTAATCCTACTTGCCTAGGCTACTAAGATGGTTGAATTATTTTAGATGACTCACATTCTTAAAGTTAATACTAGCTAATGAAGAAGTTAAGAACATAGGTTCATATTATGGGAATATCTTTCTTGTTAGGCCTAGGTACTCAGTTGTAGTCCCTCATAAGTCTTTTGTAAAACAGTGGCTTAGACCTAGGCTAGGCCTATTTAATTTATGTTTTATTAGAGCCTTCTTGCATTAACTTAGGCCTAGGCTTTATCAGATGGGCTAACATTAAACATTGATCATCTATTACTAACACGTTTGCTGTGCCATATTATGACAGTTACCAACTAACCTCTACTCTACGTAGCCTAAGTGCGGACTTATAACTTAACTAGGTCTGAAGGGTTCCAAGTGGAACAGCTTTTAACTCTCGGGTATCGACAACAGAAGGTTTGCATGTGGGTCATTCCACATCAAATCATCCACAAAAAATTCAAATTGTCACCCTCCATCTCAGATTTTAATGAAACTTATATGTTATAATTTTCCTACTAAGATATGAAAATATTCCAAATTTCAACTCTTTATCTCAAACGGTTTTCGATTTATGGCATTTTAAAGTTTTAGAAAAATGGACGTTTTCGTTCTCTCCGAGACTTAAAACGGCGAATAATGTAAAATAAAAAAAAAACTATATCTTAGGCATTTATGGACTAAATAAATCTTATGAAAAAAATCTCTATTATCAAGTTAACTATGCTGAATATAGGGAAAAATATGACATTGCTCTATCTACATTCAATTAATAAATAAAAAAAAAATTTGAATGTTTTCAGACATTTTTTGGGGGGGCGAAAATGGTTTTTCGAAAAAATTAATATCTCCTGAAGGCAGAATGATAATCAAATCAACTTTTTTTTTAAATTTAATCTACACAAAATTATCCATCTGAATAACCAATAAAACTTGTGGCATTTTGATTGCTTCATTTTATAAAATTAATTTTTATATATTTTTCTTTAGCGTATTACAAAAACATAAATTACATTAAAATATTTTACTTAAATAAATGAACTTAACATCATAAAATAAAAAAAAACATGAATAATAACCTATTTACAATTTTTGATAGCCTAATCAAATCAACCATTTATCTAAACAGATTAAGAGTTCTATATAGTTCCTTATTAGTTTATTACAAGTACCTTGATAAAAATGAACGATCTGCCTCATTTTTGTCTTGCATTAATTCCTCTTCTTAAACATTTGTGAATTTTATATTAACTTCCTGTACATCAGTCTCTGGAAAGTAGTAAACTCTTCCTTGGAGCCTTTGGTTGTAGGGGGGTCAACAACACTTAAAATGTTCAGCAACGGGACGAAACAAATGTCGTCTTTTTTATATGGCCAGTGAAATGAAGTAGAGGGTCCAAATGGGTGCATAAATTTAATTTCCACATCACACTCTTCTTCATCTTTAGAAATTACTAATCCAAAAAACCAATGGTTGTCGTAAACACAAGCCACATATGAATTTGTGCAAATTTGTGTCATATTTAGCTGCTCTTCATGCTGAACTTGTTTCCCACCACAGAAATCAAACATCGTACTGTTTTTTTGGTCCGAACTAATTCTTTTGGTAGCTATCACTGTTTCTGATTGAGGGAGAAAACAATGAAAACTACGAGTACCAGGTACGGTTTTGGCTTCCGAAAAACGAGACTCGAGCTGTTGCCTACAAATGGATAAATGTTCTTTTCTCAAAAGGTAAAAGGATATTTTCTCTATCCGAGATTGGCAAAACTCCATTACTCTTTCTACATTGATGATAGGATTAATTGAACCAGTTTGTAAACTTTCCCTTGTTAAAAGGCGTTTTACTGTTCCACCAATCCCATCACAAGGAGATTTGCCGTGGCTTGTTGCAAAAAACGACCAACAACCTTTTATGTTAAAATCTCGTTGGTGGTTACACAGGTTCAAAAAATTCTTGCAGTTCTTATATTGTCCTGCACATCCATCGCTAAAATAGTGCAAACTTTTAACCTGAGGAAACTTTGATTTTAAAAATTCAACAACGATTCGTTGGGTTTGATAAACAAAAGCCACATCATGTTCTAAATCATCCGAGACAACGCAAATATTGGATACAGTTAGATTTGATTCGTCATTGCAAGTATAAATCACAACAGGATGTAATGAACAGCTAGCTTGTGTCCAGTGGAAACCTTGCACTTCATCTTGGATAACATATGAATAGTTTTCACTAAAGTCGATCAGAACAATTGCTTCTTCTGGCTTAAGTGTTAATTTTAACTCTTTTAGATAGTTTGACTGTGACTTAGTGATAAAAAGAATGTGGCAACAGTTTTTCAAGGCTTTTAATTAGGTGATTCAAATACTCTTCAAGTGAAACTGTCAATGTAACCTGTTGAGTACGGTCGGTTGTTACCCATGCACTATATGTCACCTCATCTTCTAGGTCCCAATCTTCAAATTTTTGTTGCAAGACTTGCTTCAGATTTTCACTTGTTGGACAGTTAGAACAGTGCCGAAGCATACAGTCTCTGTTATCCATAGAACAAACTAGGTGTCTCATCAACTCATGGTATGTGTTCTCTATAGCACATGCTTGTAAAAGTAAAATTACATTTTGATGAATTGAACAAACACATACAGCATGGGTGCCTGAGGATCCAGCCAACACACACCACTTAGGACGAAGCATACAAAATTTTGAAAAACCAATTTTTATGGCAGGATATTCAAATTTAAATGCAGCATAGAGTTCATTAAGATTACAAAGTATAAGCCGTTTTTGTTTATGTACATTCTTGGATATGCTTACTTTATCTTTCTTCCCAGGCATTATTCGTGAATATTCATCATTTTGATAGAAACTCACGACCAGATCAACTGTGGCTTGTTCTAGTATTTTTCCTTTTCTTGGCTCTGGCAAAGCAATTATTCCTTTTTCATTTAATAATTCTCTTGCTTTACGAACTGTATATTCACTTACTTTGAATTCTTCAGAAACCTTTTTCCGACTCCATGAAACTGGTGCAAGTGTCAATAGTTGAATTTTTTGACTGCGGGTGATTGGCGTTTCAAGCTTTTCTTTAACTAAATCAACAAGCCTGTCCAAGTCGTCAGCTTTTTGTTGTATGTGTTTTGGTACATGTCCAATATCTTTTTCAGGTGAAAATTCTTGTTCCAAAACTTTACACACTTTTGATTTAATAGTGGAGCAAGCAGAACTCAATTTTCTTTTTGCATAACTTGATTTCATATGAGAAGGAACCGCATGAAATTTAAATGGAGAATATCAACAATATCAACCAAAGATGAATTAATTTCTTCTAATGCTTCTTCCTTACTCAAATCACTTTCAATGTCTAGAAGGTCGTCGGGGAGCTTTTCAACTTCTAAACTAATATCGTCTTCATTTTTGAACATGTAATATTCTTCTCTACAAGAATTGCATATTTTCTGTCCAGGTATTGCTTTTGTCACAACACGAGAAATGTTATTTATCTGATCAGAAAATTCCAAAGACACAGGTCTTAAAGTTTTTGTTATTTTTTTTGTGTGTTTTTGAAATGGGTCAAAACAAAAGGTTTGATATGTTTCAAACTTATTTAAAAAATAAGTTTTGTGATGAGCACAAATATTCACAAATATGTCAGTATTAACACCACTTCTTTGTATGATAAGTCTTTTTTCAATATCACTTAAGGTTTCAATATTTATTATTTTCACTGACTTTGTGTAGCTTTTTTTGTGGCACTCTGTTCCACAGTGCAGCCCTACACTGCAGTCTTCTTCACGTTTTGAATTTAAATTAGACATTAAACCAGTGACTAAATTTTCATTATATACAAAAAGTTGTTCTTAAATTAATTAAAAACTGAATAAAAACTCAAATGAATACACTACTTATATTTTTTTACACAAACCACTAACACTATTCACATTATTAAAAAACTTCTTAAACACTGATGCTCACTCCAGCAAAACTGTTTGGCAACTGACAATGTCAAGGAGGAAGTCGGTTTTGGCTGGGCAGTGAGCAGGTTCAGTCTTGAAAGTCAAACCTTTCATGTTGAGTCCTGCTCACTTGGTGAGTCAGATAGCAAGTGGATATTGACACAACTGCCATAGTACTATCTTTTCATGTCTTCACATGCTTGAATCCCTAAACCAATCCACTAGGTTGTAAATTGTGGTTGCCAATGTAGTAAATAGTAATAAATACAATAAAATCAATAAACAAAAAACAATATGCAAATAATCCTTTTTTATTTAATTAATTTGAATTCTCAAAATTTTGTTTTAACCCTAGCAGTGGCCAATGGTCCCGGCGGGACCATTTCACCGTGCACCCTTAGAATGGCCATGGTCCCTCCGGGACCATTTATGTCCAAACATTTTCTAACGCAAAAAACTAATTGATAATTATATTTAAAGTGAATAATTTTTATACCATTCGAAAGATGACATTCTAAACTTTCATTTTATTATATAAACGAACCTTCTAGCATCAATATGTCAATACAATTGCAATTTAAATTTGAATGAAAATTTCCGCGCGAATCTACTTCCACTTGTAGTGTTGCGCAAGCGCTAAACACATGAAGTTTAGAAAATCATAGCGAGGTTAGTTTTGTTCCTATCTGGATGCGAGTTATACCACTAGATAGCAGAAGAGTTGCTGAATAATTTGGCATAGATTATTTGATCAATACATCGATAGCAAAGAACGTATGATTTTTTGAAAACACGTAATTTTACAAAAATTAACAAATGGCCAATGGTCCCGCCGGGACCATTTCTAAAATCGAAATATATATATA